CGCTCGCACGCACGCACGCACGCACGCCACGCCTTCCCACTCCAAACCACAAACCAAGATTTCCAGCAGACGACAAAAGCGAGACAGGCGCGCCCTAGGGCCTACGCAGATGACCTTAACGCAGCCCTCGACCGATATCGCCAACTCAATATTGGATCGATACCATTAATCTATATTTAATTATGATAGGCCTATAATGATACATGCAGATCTATTATTGTGGCATTGTTCTCGAGATAGCTCGGTGCAGGTATACCTTACCCCCACCACCCCATCTCCCCCATAGCATTTTATGTTTTTCTCTTAACATAGTTGCTTCTTCGCCCCCAACTTTAATTTAGATCTTTTAGGCGGCCCATTTTCAACACTGCATGCCAGGACCAATTCAGGCTAAAAAGGATACAACAGATACTTGATAAAAATTTTCTCCCCTCTTGGGAATCGAACTTAAGTCTCCTGAGTGCAACAGCCAAGCGCCTAACCGTTACTCAACAGACGCAAGAACCACATGTCTGTTCATAATAACATTGTAGTGATTAAAAGGAGACGGATAATAATAACACTACGTACGTTTTTGGGGGTAAGTTTTCTTTTTACGGCGCTCGCAACTTCATAAGGTCATTATGAGCGCACGAGTTATATTAAACATGTTCACTTTATAAAGGAATTTTTAATTTTTCTCGGGTGGCGGCTGAAGCCTAGTCTTATCGATTCTGGGCCACCAATGGATCTTTAACATACGCAACTTGCACACGCGACCTCCGAGATGTTTTGACCTTATCCGGGAAGGCTAGATGTTAGATCTTACCTACCATAAGATCAGGGGTGTGGTTGAAAGACAGCAGTAAGAAGGGGCCAAGGAGTAGCAGTAAAAAGGCTACAGAAAGAGTCAGGGGCCCAGAGGAGGGGGTAAGAGCAGAAAGTGGAGACGAAATCAAACCACAGAATATTGTTAGAAAGCTGGACAAGATGTGAAAGGAGAAAGTTTTCGAGAAGAAACTTTTCCGTCGCTATCCGGATTTGAACCCGAAGCAAATTGAATGAGAGGTGAACACCTTAACCTCTAGACCACGATTGCCCCCTTATAGTGATTTAAAAGAGACGGACTATAAAAACACAACGTTCGGTTAAAGTCAGACAACATCATTCAATAATAAGCACGTGATCTTGTCTACTTATCTAACACTTGGCATGCTTAAACATAAGGCATGGAGGAAAAACAACAACAACAATAACATTACACTTGACACACAGTACTTTGATAAAGTGTTTTACGTAGATATGAAACAACAACATACAAGTTTAGATACCATAGAGACAACGCACTTGGAATGATAACAAGATTGCTACCCTAAGTTTACAAAGTTTTATCCCCTCAGTAACTAGTGTTGAGAAATTTTACGTAAAAAATTGTCCGTTTTTGCGTTTCTCAATAAAATAGATGTACATGTATGTCAACCTTTTTCCGAATGTAATTATTTAGATTTCTAGATAATTAGTGACTCCGAATTTTCTTACGGTTTTGATAGAGCTGATTGAACATTTGGTTTCTTGCCTCGTGGTCTTAGTAACTCAAAACGGCCCAAAATGTCAGATAGAACTCTGATATTCCGAGGTAGTTAATAGCAATTTAAAAAAAAATGAATCAGAATAGTTTGAGAGAAAACAAGGATAAAGACGGTATGTGGATGAATGCCTCATAATGACAACACATATTTTAATTATGTAACTGTAGAAGTTTTCCGCCCCATCGATGTTATGATCAGGGCTAACCTGAACTGAGAGTGATACAGCGTCCCAGTAGAATGACGGAAATGCTAAATAAAAAATCTCTCCTTGTAGGAACCAATTTAGTTAAGTAAGAGTTTTAGGGTGGGTGGCGAAGTGGTTAGTGCGCTCGTCTCCGAAGCGGAAAGTCCGGGTTCGAGCCTCGTTTCGGACACGGATTTTTTTTGCCCCCCTCCTGCCCACCCAGCATTAATGGGTATGTTACTTCGAGTTGTTGAAGTAAAGGCGGCGTGGAAAGGAACTGGCCACCCTACCACAATATTATGCCGAAGGCGCAGGAAGTTGTTTCACGAACAAGGCAATCCCCAATGTCCGGATCGGGTGCGGGGACAAATTTACTAAGAGTTTTACGGCGTTCGAACCCATGTCGGAATCGAACTCATGTCTTCCGTATGCGTCGTTCAAACGCTTACCCACTGCGCCACAAATGCCGGTACACTTCTTTACTTTAGTTTTAGTAAGTTTACGGCGCTCGCAACTGCATAAGGTCATGAGTGCGGAGAACACATTAATTAAAGTCGGTAGGAAATTTTGAATTTTGCTCGATATATAGCGGCCGAAGCCTACTTTATATCGATTTTGGATCACCATATTATCTTTAACGTGGGCAGCTATAAAAAGGCCTATACAATTTAGTAGACGTCACAAAGTATAGGTGAAGCACTGCCGGCGGGTTTTTGGGGGTTGAGTTTTGCCTGAGAGATATAATATATCTCTAAAATAATTAATTTAGAGACATGCGTTGTGTTCAAGTACATGCGGGCACCGGAGGATCTTCAGAAGACTATATATGCCACATTCGAGTAAAGACCGGCATCTGGTAAACACGATTAAGAAGATTAACGTACCTATTGTTTTGTTGTTAGCATGAAAAATGAGGATTTTGAAGACACGGATAACAGCTATATTATTATATTAAAATTATATAGGCCCTATAATTCGATGGGCGGCTCCTGGCCTTGAATACTGAAAACGTGAGTTTCATTCTCATGTACTGAATATTTTTAAAAAGTCAGGGAATAATTTTTGCTAAGATATTTCACAGTTCGGTTTAGCATGAACAGGAATGATCGAAGCTGCCCACTTGTCTATTGTGTAAACGGGGCTGTAAACATTTACCTTTTCATATTATATTATTAATTTTACACCGCAGCAGGTGAATACGAGACTTTGAAAATTAAAAAAAAGAACCTTTGTACCAGGGCTGCCAGAGGTGCTAAAAAGGGGGCGTGCACAGTAATTATAAAGCTACATGATCTAAGGCGCCTGTGAGGACTTGCATTAATTAATTTAAGTAAGATTTGGCTAGTTAATTACTAAGCTTGTTGCGGGCTTCTTTTATTTTCTGTTTGTGGGTGCTTTGCGCGATAGAATATAAGTTTGGGCGGCACTGGATGACCAGGCTCTGTGAAAGAACCGCGCCTGCTTTGTACCCATCCCTTCTCAAAAAGACTTGTTCAAACAAATGGTAATGGCATAATAAAAAAAAAAGTGAAGAGTAGGTGAGAGGAGAAATTGATGCGTTCATTTTAATATGGGAGAAAAATACACGCACCACCGTTCATATATGACTTCTTCCGTTTCATAGGCATAAAAAAGTCGGAAAAGTGATCGTAAGAGTGCGGTCCCTTGCTAAGTGTTGTGTTCGGTGGCTTGACTTGACCTCAGCGGCTGCGACTGCCGTGCCGAGTTTCTCATCGAAGGACACACCTAGAATTTAGTAACTAACAGTTTCGCCTTTCTTCTTGCAAAAATGCTTTCTTCACTCAGAATCGGCAGGTCATTGGCCAACTCGGTAAGAAGCTTTTTAATTATTACCAATTCCTTCACCACTTGTCTTGTCTTGTCTGCCTCTGAGGCCTCTGCTGCGGCTTCTGACACTGACCGCTGACGGGCACCGACACGGACAGTAGTCTCGGCCTACCGTCAGTGATGAGGTCGGGGCTAGATTCTAGATCTAAATCTAGTAGATCTTCTGAAATCTAAGAAGGCTTAGGCCCGGGGTCATATAAGGTAATACTTGGTCGGGAGGAAACAGTTGAGTTTTAAGTCTTATAAAATGTGGTTCTCAGTCTTTGTTGATTGAGAGTAAAGAGTTGGCCGGCTCTATTTCTCCGAACGTTCGGGAAAATAAACTTGAACTCCATTTTGAACTCCCGGACTAGATCTATACTTCATTTGAAAATACCTTCAAAAGGTACTGTGAGAAAACAAGACTGATCGACCTTGGCAGTCACTTATTTTGCATTTAGTCTTCTCGCAAAAAATAAAATCCTTCATGAAAAAAACCGAAGTGGCTAGCCGTAGTTAACTCTTATCCTGCGTCTGTGCCCAGATGCGTATCTTATCAGCAACCGATTATGTCGGACGTGCCGGGCAGGCCGCCGGGGTCACTCAGTGTGTACTGTTGGTGTACAGCGCGCGCGCCGGGAAACGTGTGTTTTCACCATGAATACCGCGGGAGTGTGTTAACTGATGATGAAAATAACGCTCTATCCTTCATAGATTTCTATTTATAAAGTGTTACAAACACATGAATAACCCCC